ACAGGTGATCGCGTGGGCCCTGGAGTGAGGGCCTTAGTAGAAAAAAGAGGAAAAGCCCCAAGCTCAAATACACCTGCCCATTCTCCAGAGCTTGCACCCATGTACTCACAGTTAGGGGAATAGTCAAAACAGGTCATCTCCCACAGCAAGGCTGACAAAACTGTTGGCACAGCATGTTCTGATCAGTAACATACATACACACATACATACATATGTGTGCATGTGTGAATACATACTACAGTCTTTGGTATATAGACTAACAAATGGCAGCTTTCATTTTATAGCAAATGTCATGTGATCCAATCCTGTTGCTTTCTTCTTACCACCCCCTATAGCTACCTCTAGAAGGCTGGGTCTTCAATATTCAGCCCTGACCCTGCCTCCACCCCCATCACCCAGGAAGCAAGCCCCAAAAGGTAACACTGATAACCCTGTAAATAGGCCCAAGTGACTGGAACCCCCTAACTCTTGATAACCTAGAGACTGAATTCTCAGCTCTCTTTTCTCCAACAGAATGATCAGAATGGGAGCGAGCTGGGACGAGTCATAGCTACATGAAAGAGATGTTGTAGACCAAGGGGAAGGATTGGGAATAGACAACCCCTCCCTACTCCCAGTCCCAGGCTTCCCTCAGCACTCTCTTTTGTATCCTATAGGTGACAAGACAGATTCTGGAATGAAGCAAGTGATTCAATTCAATTAACATTTACTAAGTACCTACTACAATCCAGGCCCTGAGGCTACAGAGATGAACAGGGTTGAAAGAGGGTCCTCGCCCTTACTTCCCTGTTCTTAGCCATGGCTTAGGAGCATCTTTGAATTTCCATCCTCCTCTATCACTTACCCATCTATTCCAGGTACTATGATTTATTATAAAGACTAACAGAGAATAATGACTTGAAATAACGTAGAATTTTCCAGGTGGCCTAACAAATGTTTAGAAACAGCATGTCCTGAATTGTTACCAATACAAGAGATCCCAAGTTATGTAAGGTAATAGTTTGTTAAAGGAATGGCAAATTCCACTATCTTTTAGGAGAAATGAGAATATATTAACTTTGGTGTTTCCCAGTCCCAGCATTTGCTTGAGTATTCCACAAGTTTGTTCAAAAAATGAATAGGTAAATGACTGAATGAACGAACAAGCCTATTAACGAACTTGTGATTCAGTTTTTATACATTAATCCCACAAGAGCTGAGTAACATGTCTTCTTAACCACAGAGCAGGGAGTTTTATTCCAAGCCCACAGAGAGAAGTCTTAGGATGGACAGATGGGACTCTGGTCCTCAAGTCACACAGGAAGCCATAGCTCCGGGTCGGGGACATTTGCCAAATTATGCCCCTCCCTGCCCATCCCACGTTGCATCAAGGGAACTGAAGGAACATGCAATCACACAGATTGCATATAGAAACCTGGAGCCCATGAGGTTGGCAGGTGGCTCACAGTGTGGGGAAATGAGTGTGAAGAAGGACCTTGGTGCCAGAAGATGTGGAGATGTGAGCTCAAGTCCTGGATCAGGTAGCTCCTAGTAAGTCACATACCCTCTCTGAACCTGTTTCTTCATCTATCAAATGAGGATAACAAGATCTCATTTGGGGGATTATGAGCCTTAGATGAATAAAGCATCTATATTAACTTTCTAAACCATAAACTCTATCAACTTACAGACCTAAGAATACCAGAGGTTGGAAGGTCAGAGGAACAGGCAAAATGGAGTGGCCCAGTCCCCAGCTACCCTTCCCTAGCAAAGGTCACTGATAGAAGGTCTTTCACCGACCCAGCTGTCTGACATCTCAACACCGCCTCCCTTGCTCCCTCCCCTCTGTCATACACTGAGAGCTGAGGAGTTGTGCAGCCTCAGCCCGGGGCGCTGTGTCATGCTCCAGCACCTGTCATTCCCTCTGTACACAGAAGGAGAATGCGAAGTGACACCTGGAGCTGAGGTGGGGAGTAGGAGCTGCCAGCAGGGACTGCTGCAGAGGCGGATGTCAGGAAGCCTGGAGAGGGGGCTGTCCCAGGCAAAGCACCAGCCCTGGGGCAAAGGGCACAGTGCCAACTCCTGGATCTGCGGTCCAGAAGCAGTTGATCTTGGGCTGAGCACTTAACCTGTGTCCTAGATGATTCACATCAAAAGCCTGATCTGCCTGCCTCCCTGGGTTGGTATTATATTTTACTGCTTCTAAGACCCCAAAAGTTGTAGGATGCCCCAGGAGTTCCTTTTTAGCAAAGACAGAAAGAAAAATGCTGTCAATTACACTGTATCATGTCATTATTGTAAGACACAGGCTGATGTCAATGATGCTTCAGCTTGAGAAACGCGCATTGGAGAAGCGCTGTGATTTGGTATGTGAGCACACTGTGTGAACCTAAGACTAAATCTGAGTAGCTGTTCCTGGGGGATCGAACCGCAGCCCTCAGCACCCTCAGCACAAATCTTGAGAGTGCCAAGCCCTTTCCCTGGAGCACATTCACATGGGAATTAAGGAGAGAGGAAGAAATCAGTAGGTGCAGGAAGAACAGGGACAAGGTCCTGTTGGTTCAGATGGACAGCAGGGGTCGTTCGGCAAAGTCTGAAGGCCACTAAGAATGGGAGGTTGGAGGGCTGAGTGGGCAGAGAACGAAGAGGACAACGGACTTGGCCTAGGGGTCACCACTTGTGCCCACTCATATGCACCTGATACATGCCGGTGAGGACACGGAGGGCCTTACTGGACATGCTAATGGAAAGACCCCGGTGACTCCTACAAATCTGCTCCTCAAGCCACATGGCAACCCTTCTGGGAAGCCAGTGGGTACCGCTCCCATCAGTATTCTCCCATCCTGTCAAAGGGTCCAGTTCCTCTACCTCTCCTCACACATCCTAGCTCCCAGACCCCACCCCAGAATGGCAGAGTCGACTTTGGGAGCACTTCAACCTGTCACAATGCCTACTAAAATGTGATATCCTAAAGATGTACATTGGAACACTTTTAATAATTAACTATAATAGCCAAAACCAGAAGGAAATCCAGCTGTCAAATAACTGTTATTAACTATAGTCACCATGCTGGTCTCCCGGACTTACTCCTCTGTAGCTGATAGTTTGTACTCTTTGGCCAATTTCTCCCCCACTCCCAACACCCAGGAAGTACCATTCATTTCTCTGTTATTGTGAGTTTGATTTTTTTTTAAAGACTCTACATATAAATGAGATCCTGCAGTATTTGTCTCTTTTCAGTGCTTGGGTTATTTCACTTAGCATAATGCCCTCCAAATTCATCCACACCATTGCCAATGGCAGGATTTCCTTCTTCTTCTTTTTTTTTTTTTTTAAGGCTAAATAACATTCCTCTGTGTGTGCGTGTGTGTGTTTGTGTATGTATCTCTTTATCCATTCACCCACTGATGGACATTTAGGTTGCTTTCCTATCTTGGCTACTGTGAATAATGCTACAATGAACATGGGTGTATTTGCTGAGAGTGGAGCTCAGATGTTCTCACCACACACACAAAATAGGTAACTATGTGAGATGATGGGTATGTTAATTAGCTTGACTGTGGTATTCTGCAATGTATGTCTAAACACTGTATCGCATACCTTAAATATATACAATTTCTATCTGTCAATCGTACCTCAATAAAGCTGAAAAAAATAAAACATGAGAAAACATTGCCCAGATGTGCTGCACCGTCTATGACCATGCACTTCTGAAACACTATGTACAATTATCTTTACAGACTAAACCATGTTTAAAATTCAGTAGAATTTTCTTTTACAAGAGTAACCTTCAGAAAATCCTTTTGTAAGGCAACAGATGTTTTTAAACATCGTCGTCTCTATTTATCTGTTCCCTATATTGAGGGGTTGGTTGCTTATGAGCTCCATTCGAACATTCCAATCCTTTACACCTTCAGATTTTTCTCCTTCACTTAATCACAATTGGTGTGAAGGTTAAAAGTATAAGTATTGTGTGTATTCCACAAGACAATGAGTAGACACGAACATTGTCAAGCTCTCATTTTTCTCAGACTTCATCTACCTCCACTCCTCTGTTCCCTGGAGAAAATCTCCTCTTTGTTCCCCTTTGGGTCAATCGTAATGGTGGCTCCTAGATCCCCCTCCTCCCTTTTCTACTGCATTCTCTTCTTTTCCACACAGGTCTGGCAAGCAGCTTGGGTATGGGAATTTCCAAGTCACACCCCTTTCTGCCATTGCCATACCCACATGGGCCTGGGCCACTACCCTCCCACTCAGGCACCAAAAGCTACCTGACACAACGACGAGAAACCACAAAAGCCCGGAGAGGCATGCCCATTATCACCAGTCCCAAGGCCCATCGCACATGCTGCTAACGGCTCTGTAGATAGGCCCCAATAGAGGCCATACTACACTCATTCTCAAAAACATGATTTATCAGATATTTAAATCTACTGCCAATAAACATACGCCGCCTAGGACACTGCGTGGGCAACAATTTAGTATTACTTATCAAACAGTTTAATGTGACTCAATTTTATACCTCCTCATATGAATAAATCTGCAAGTCATAAAAAATTCTGTGGTCAGGACACAAGTCTCAATTATCAGTTAAGAAAATATCCGTGGGGGTCTTCTTCAACGTTCAAAGAAACACTGCACCCCAATGGCATTCGGGGCCCATCTTTGCGGGGGCCCCTCAGGCTAGGGCAAGCTGCTTGCTTTGGTGAAAAGACTCACTAGGGTATGTGTGCCCAGCACTAGGCAAACCCAGAATGGAAAAGCAGAAGGAAAAGCAGCCACACCCTGGTTCTGTAACCTCTACAGAATGCCACATGCATCTCCACAGAGTACCCATAGCCCCCTGCAGGTGGGTCACCTACGGTCTGGCCCCGTGGAGAATCCCGTCCTTGAACTTTTTTCTTCTGACCCTACTGCAGGCACTTCTGCCTTCCCACCCCTGGGTTCCTTGCAGCAGCCACTTCATGACCACACAGGCACATCCCCTCACACCAAAAGGGACAGACAGGAAGAGGACTCACCCACTGAGGACCACGATGAAGTCCATGACATTCCAGCCATTGCGGAGGTACGAGCCCTTATGGAAGATGAACCCCAGGGCCACAATTTTGATACCAGCTTCAAAGCAAAAGATCCCAATGAAATACGGTTCTGTCTTCTCCTGCAGGATGAGGAGCACAGGTGCCGGTAAGGGGGGGGGGAATATACTTTGTCAGATGCAGACAAAGTCACGCCCCGGCCGCACTCTCCACTCTGACCACTCCTCTCTCCTACACAACACCTGACGTCTGCGCTGGGCCAGCCCCAGGTACAGGTGGGAAGTGAGTGCGCTGAAGGACTCCAGGAGTGCCCGAGAGCATGGGAAGCCTCAGGGGGCGCCAGCTGCAGAAATGGATGGGTGAGGGGGTCACACTCAAGCCAGACTTCTTCCCAGGAGGATGGTTGATGTTTCTGGCTTTGTCTTGGTGAAGTTGGCTTTTCCATTGCTGGCCTTCACTTACCCTGGAAGCTTAAGGGTTCTCATCTGCAGGTAATCAGGCTGAAGCCGCTTATCCACACATTTGGATTTTACGCAATTAATTTTCCCTCTCTAGGGGCAATACACTAGACACGTGACTCATTGCTTTAAGGAGAATATGAACATGACATCTACAAAGTCATCACTGTGAACGCACATAGGCTTTGAGCATCCTTCTCCCTCTCACTTCCAAAGTCCCTTAGGAAGGGGAGTGAAGTTAATGGCCCTTGCGCCTGCCCTTTCTTCTTGTCTGGCTGCCACACAGAGTATACACAAGTGTTTGTGATGCCCTCAGAACTTCCTGGAAGCAGGAGTTAAAAAAGGTCAGTCCTCTCGTCCTTCTGCACCCCAGTGGGGTTTGTCACCAACTTGTCCCTCAGCAAAGAACAAACTCCTCACTGAACTGTAGGGGAGGGCATAGGGGAAGTGGCCAGGTGATGAAGCAAAGGAGAAGGGAACCGGGGAAGAGAAAGGACTGAGGGGGAAGATGAGATGAATGGAGGCACATACCAGTCTGCGGGACATCGGGGTCTTGTCATCCTCAGGAAGATGCTGTTCCAGGGCCAAGACAATGCAGTTGGCAATGATGGTGGCCAAAATCATGTACTCAAACGGCGTAGGAAAGATGAAGTTAAGGAACAGATTCACCAAAGAGAGAGGGATGCAGCCTCCATGATGGCTATACACATAAATACACAAACTTCATTAAAACCCCAATGATGCCTGTGCAGTCTGCATGATCTCTATGAGCAGGCAGGCAGGGCACTGGATGGTCCTTAGCATGAGAAACTATAACCACTTCTGGTTGGGCTCTAAACCCAAAGCACCTTCTCCAAGAGAAGGAGGAATGTAGCCAATAAATAATATAGTTCGACATCTGGCTGACACTCCAGATACTTAGGGAATTCAATGGTATAGCCGGGGATTAAGCAGGGCTGAAAACGGAAACAGGAAGAAGGAAGAGACAGTGATGTGGCCGCAGGCTCCTGCTCTTCCCCAGCTTCAACCACGGCGCTGGATGACAATGCTTCAGCAAGGATCCAGCCGTGGCTGTCTGTTGCTGTCTCTGGGAATCACATCTGGGGCCTCCTCCTCTAGAATCTCTGCTCAACTGAGTAGAAGGGCCTTTGGAAAAAGAAAAATTCTCTCCATGTGAGCTTTCTTCTATTTCAATATCCAATTCAGAAAAATATTTAATGTGGGCAGGAGAAGCTTGCCTTGGCCTACCTTATTTTCTCCTGAGCTTCTACACAGACAGCAAACAGAGATGCATCATGAGTCTGAGTCCAGGGCAGTTTGGTTCTTAGGGCATCTAAGAACCAAACTACAAATGAATGGATAATGAATTCAGGCTTTTTTTCCTGTTGCATTTTTCTGCAGACAGATGAGCGGTCTCCCTGAGCCTTTCTGAACAAGAGGACTATGATTCAAGTGCCTGCATCCGGACTCCTGCAGAAAGGGTGTGCCACGAGCCCAGGAGGAGTTGGAGGGGGGGACTGTTCACAGAGAGAGAGGGAATCACCATTTTCTGGAGTCAAGTATGCTGGATTTCATTCCGTGACTATTGTTGTGACAAACACTAGTGAGCTGTCGCCACAGGTCTTGCCAAGCAACCTATGCTCTGGCAGATTCTGGCATCCGGGCAGAAGAAAAGAGTAGATCTGGCCAAGTGGAGGGAAGGCAAGGGACCATCCTCCTTGTCCCTCCACATATCCGGGCCTGCTGTGTAGCACATAGGGCCTAAAGCTTTCCCTAGGGAGTACAGTTCATAATCAGGCCCCTGATGCTTCCCCGCCCCAGTGCCCATCAGTGGCCAGTGGGCATTCAGGGCATCTGTGAGGAAGGGCAGGGCACCTCCCAGCAGAGGGGACGTGTGGAAGGAGATGCGAGCTCCCCTCCACTGGTCAGGCCCCAGTGCTGGAATGGGAGGCTGCAGCGGGTGAGGCAGGAGGCTGCATCAGAGCCCCCAGAGCTCTTCAAGGGCACGTGGCAGTGCCCAGTGCCATCTCCGTCCCCCCCACCCCCCGCCCCGACCGTGCGCCCGAGTCACTGCCCACTCTCCCGCAGCTGGCCACCCTTCTTCCCACACAGCCCCAGTGTTCCCCCAGGACCCACGCTCTAGCCCTGCTGGCTTCTGGTGCTCTGAGGCTCTGCCACCGGATCTGCAGACTGGATGGGCTCTGAGGACTTCAGAGCCAGCCCCCTGCCTCCACACCCCACTGTGCTCCTTTAAACCCTCCCAGTCAGAGGAGAATCTAACCGCACGCCCAGCCATTCCTCCTCCCGCAGTCTCTCTCGGTACCGAAAGAGGCCCCTGAGAGCTAAACATGCCAGTGGACATGCTCCACAGACGCCCACCCGGCGGGCCGCCCACTTTCTTGGGACAAGCCCCTGCCCACAATGCCCCCAGGGCCACCATCAGGCACTGGTCACGGGGGGCGTGCTCCTCCCTACCATCATGGGCTCTGACCCAGAGCTCTAAGTGTAGCGGGACCAGGGACCACAGCAGGATCTGGTGTCCCAGAGGCTAGCTGGTCCTGGGCTGGGTTCAGACACCCCGAATTCCCCAGACCCAAAAGGTAACATGAAGATGGGAGCATGGCAGAAGTGGTGGCCCAGGCATGCAGGCCTTTTCTTGACAACATGCCGACCAGCCACTGACAAAGTTCAAGAGAAGTGGAGGGCATCTAGGGCAGTGTTCCTAAAATGCAGGCCACAGGATACCAGCGCTATAGGAATTGGCAATCAAATCAATGAGGGAAAGCGGGAATTCAGGAGAGTGAGCAGGCTCCTCCAGCAGGACTTCTTGGAGCCTTTGGTATTACTGTCAACAGTGTCCACCGCCTCCCCCAAAGGGGGTGGGAATGGTACAGAGCATTCCCTAACCCACTTCACCACATCATCCTTTTATCGGAACACCTCCCCTGGGAATGGTGTCAGAGGAACGTATTTGGGAAGCTCTGGTCCAAAGGGCAGATGTCACCGCCAGTCCCCAGGTGTGAGGAGGAAGGTTGCTGCTCTGGCAGGAGGGAAACTGGTGGCATCCTTATTCCCAGCGAAACCATTCCCAAGGCGCGGGGCTCAGCTGCCCTTGGCCCTGGCTGGCAGTGCCCCGAGCAAGTTCAGAGAAGCTGCTCAGCAGCTCCACGGAGCCCGGCAGGTGACCTGGCAGGCAGGACTGGGGAGTGGCAGACATCCTGAGCTCTCATGGGTCTGCTTGGGTGCTAGGATTACTTTCTGGGGTTCAAGCTTCTTCCCCTGAAAAGCTCCAAGTGATAGCCACAGACTTCAAAGCTGATGAGCTCTTAGGTGCTGACTTGCAGGCCTGATGGGTCGTGGCAGCCGTATGCCCCCCAAGCCTCTCTACCCCACAACACCTGCTGGGACTGTGGCAGCCCCTCTGTGGTCCCCACTCCCTGCTCCCACTTCCACACCTGCATTCCCTAGCTGGATCACCTAAGCATACAACTCCCTGCGTGGACCTGTCAGGTCACCTACTCGAGAATGTCCAGGTACAGATACATGAGGCTTCTCTGTGACCACAGGGCTGGCTAGCTTCAGGAAGGTATGACCATCACCACTGCTGGATGCTCGGGACAGGAGCAAGGCTCTTGGCCCCCGGTGCTAATGACCCAAACTTCCTGTGACTGGCCAGATATCTGGATGGCCGAGAATTCATGAGGTCTCAGTGAACAGTACTGCCTAAAGCCCGGGAGGCTTCCATCAAAAAGTGAGAGTTTGGTAATTCATAGGTTCTGAAAAGACCCCATTGCTATGCCCTCCCCAACCCAAATCCTCTGCCTATGGTCTGATGTCTAAGGACCCATACAGAGCAGCAATCCTTTGGCTTGAAATGTGGAAACTGTTTAAATGCACATATCCTTGGGAGGGATGTCCCTTTAGACCTTACAGCTCATCTCAACCTCAGGATGAATTCATGTTTGGGGCAATTAAGAATCTGAGGTAAAGTTTTGCTGAGAAGCAGAGGTGAGACTATGGGAATACCATGCATCTGTGGATGAGGCAACAGAAAGGACAGTGACTGGGAAATCTTGGCAGAGAACATCCAGTTCCGTCTGGGGTCCAGCCACTCTCCCTTTCAGCCCTTTCCGTCCCCCTCTCGCCCCCTTCTCTTTCTGAAGAAAGCATGAAGAATGGGCACCTACATCTTGGCGCTTTGGCCTCCACCTGCAATGGGGGAGCTTTCTCCTCTTTTCTGGTCCTATGTCCAGAGCACTCTAAAATACCACCTCGTCTGTGAAGGTTTCTCCCTGTACCCTATAGCTCTTCATATTGTACAATTTTATCATTTCTCCTATCTGTCTCCCCCAAGAAACTACAGTTTGAAAGCAAGGACGTGTTCTTGTTCATCTCTCCAATGGCAGTGCTTACCAGAGGCCCTGGTATACAGTAGGAACTAACTCAATGCTCAATGCAGGCATGAATAAATGGGAGGCAGGAGGCACCCCCGAGAGCAGGAGCTCCATTAAGGAGCCGTCACAGAGACTGCACGGTAGTCACTCACGCTGGCTCAGGCCCGGGCTCCTGCTCACCCCCACCCTTGGGAGCTGACTCAGAGGCACCACTCCCATTTCTTCTCATCTACCCTCATAACTTCCAGCCAAATAAGTTTGGCTCAAGGCTTGTGGCTCTGCTACATCTCCCAAGGCAAGAGCCTGGACTGCAAATAATGGCCCATAGGCCAAGGGAATGCACCTCAGGCGAGACAAAGATGTGACCTGGAAAGGTCAAAAGAAGCTCCATGTTGCCAAGACCTCAAAGAACAAGGCCCTTCATGAGATGGTAATGGAAGACTGTCCAGAACTCTGATTCCTTCCACCCAGGAATTCAGTGGCTCCCATTACGTTCTATGCTTGATACCAAACACATTTTGGAGAACTGAATCTCTCCCTGGTGTCCAGACTGTGTTGGAGATCTTGAATAAATGGGAGCTAGCAGGGCAGTGAGGTGTGGGAGCCTGAGGGCAGGAGCTCTGCCTATCTTACTCACCTCCAGGCCCCTTGTGTCCATCACATGGTAGGCACGCAATAATTGTCTTCTAATTAATTAACTAATTAATGAATCAATCAATTGATAAGTGAATTGCATAGAAAAGCCAGAATCAGAGGTATCCTTGCAAAGGTATCTCCTACTTTCTCCACACTGTGGACCCACTTGAACTTTTTGTACTATAGTCTGTGTATACACATTAGCTATTCAAAAATAGAAACCAGCATGCATAGAAGATCCCTTTGATGTAAAAAAGGTTTTTGAAAAAGGAGCAAAGGAAAAAAAATCTGTCATGCTAGAAGGATAATGAGTTTTCTTGGGGTAGTAGGGTTATTTCCACTTTCTTCTCTACTCCTTTATGTATTGTCTTGAGTGTTATAATGAGTATATATTAACTTATAAAATCAATTAAAGCTATATATATTTTGAAAAAACACAAACCAACACAATAAAACCATCTCAACTTGAGGGTAATGGAAATCAGTACAAGGTTTCTGAGAGGATCTAATACAGGAGAACAAAGGGACTGGACCCAAGGAGAAAATGCCATGGAAGTGCTTTGAACCTGCCAAGACGCCTCCTCTCCCATATCTGTCTCACT